TCTTTTGCTAATTCTTAAGTCTTCCTGGGGCCTGCAAGAGCTCTCAGGGCCCTGTGTGTGGAACGCACTTCCCAGATTCTTCATGGCTGCTACTTGCCTCTGCTCTTGTTCCTACCTAAAATGGTCTCCCTGAGGCACCCACATGTGAAGGCGTTTAGTAGATGCTCATAATACAGGATCACTGTGACTGTCATAAGTTTGCCTCATGCTGCTGCAGCCCAACAAGCATCATTTCCATGTGACAAAGACTGATGGCACAGAAGAAAGCCTCAGCCTTAAGCTGCCAGAAAGTGGCCCATGGGAGCCCAAGGACCCGGCAATGCTCCTGCTTGCATACCTGTCTCTAGGTGCAGCTACTTGAAGACCTGTGAGGTTTCCAGGTCTCAGGAGGATGGAAGGTGCTAGCAAGTTAGTCACCCATTAGCTCAAGAGGCAGCAGGGCCGCAATCAGAAAACCCACCTTGTGAACTTCTGCAGTGTAGATGTAGACTCTGGCACAAACATGGGGATGGTCCTCTTGTGCCTGAAACAGTTTTCATACAGATATGTGCTGAGGAACAGTACTAGCCCTGTGGAAACCTACAGGCCAGGGTGCAAGCCTTCACAGATGCAGGTGTGTGGATGCACATAGAACCTTTTCTTTCTACACCCACTTCCTTTCTGCTCAAGTAGCACGAGTTGTCCACGTATGTGAGTCTCTCTCAAGGTGCAGATTAGAGCATGGCCACCCAGGCCACCCAGGCCCCTGAATATATCTTGCCCAAGTCCAAGGAAGGAGCATTGACCAGAAAGCCTGCTGTCTAAAAGTGCTGTCCCCAAGGTTTGCCTGCCCAGTAAGGGGCAGACTTCAGGCCAGAGACCAGGTCAGAGTGGGCACCTCCCGTCCAGGAGAGAAGGGTACATGCACCGCTCCATAGCCTCGGACCACATCATTCCCAAACACGTCTGGTCCATAAACACTGAGCACGATCTGTGGCCCTTGAGAGGGACAAGGGTGGCATGTGGGGGAACAAGGGAAGGGGTATAGTATATGATGTGCCTAGGTGAGGACTGGAGCAGGGACTCAGGATGATGGCCAAAGCCCTGAGCACCCAAGGCTTCTGTCCTCTTCTATCTGCTGGTGCCCCGGGGGTACTCTCCATATCTCTGCTCATAGCTGGGGAGATAGAGCCAAGACATTTGGTAGATACAGAAAGTCCTTTGGAGGTTCTGTGCCAACCCTGGGCCCCTGCTTTCTTCCTCTCTGATGGCTTCAGTCTTACCAGGCTGTGATGCCCTGTGGGAGGGGCTTGTCCTAAGGGTTCTGAGCGCAGTTAAAGAAATCATGGCCTTCCATGTATTTCTCCTTAACATACTGATAGTTACATATGCTTCCTGATCACATCCAGCCAGGCCTCTACCTCCTTAGTGTCTGACCTCTATTTGTAGCAGACAGACCTACTGCAGCTCCAGATGACAGGTGAGGACTGGAAGCTGGCTCTATGGTTACTGCTGAATGGCCTCAGACAAGTTTCCCAACTAATTTGCCCTCAGCTTTCCTGTGTCTAAAAGCCATAGAATAGTACCAAGTACAAGAGACACTCAGTAAAGGTAAATGAAGTCTGTGCCCTTCCCACTACTACTTTGCCACCAAAAGTTACCTGTGAGTGACTCGGGTAGTCCTATATAGTGGTTTGTTCATTCTCAACACTAAATACCTGATCACCATAGTCTCCTGAAGCCAACTGTTCGTGGTTGTGGACACATGGGCTGTTCCTCCTTGGAGAATGTTGCAGTGAATCTTAGATTACCCACATACAGGTTCTTGACACACTTGTGTCCTCATTCCTGAGCACACTGCTGGGGATGTGCTCAGGAAGGGACTCAAACTGACAGGGAGGTCTCCATTCCCTTCTACAGTTTTCCATTGCACTCCTCAGTGGGTGCTTCCGTCAGCAGTGTTCTCTACACTACACACTTGTCAACCTTTGGCAGATCAGTCTTAACCTGACTGGTCAGCCTCCATTGCTCTGCTAGCTTTTCGAGAGCTCGCAATTAGAAGGGTGGCTGTGGGATGACGAGGAGGCTTTGTAGAGAGCAAGACTCAGAAGAGCGTCCCAGGCAACCAGCACAGGATGAGCAGGTACTGGAGCTTACTGGAACACTATGCAACGGGAAGTTGAGCAACTTGGGGTCAGACCCTCCAGCCAGGTGGCTGCAGCACTGTACACCAGGCTCCGTGTGCAAATGGCAATCAACAAAACAGGCAGCATCAAGGGCTGGGGCACAAACCGAGACACTGGTAGTGGCCCCTGAAGGAGAGTGGTGGGTGCAGCAGAGAGAGGCTCCGCCCCTCCCATCATGGCCCACAGACTCACAGCCATAGGGGTTGGTACTTTTAAAGGTGACATCGATGGGGAAGTTCCACACCAGTGCTTGCCGTACATCTTGGCTCTTGGATGCGATCTGTGAGATCCCCTCCTCCAGACCCTGTATAGACATTGACAGAGACAGCTGGTCTGAGTTCCAGATACTCATGCCCCTTTCACTTATATAGGCAGGTTAGGAAGGCCATTTACATTCTTTCTGTGTGGCATGTTAGATATTTATCCAAAAGTGCCTTGGTCTAGATTGCACTCACCCTCCCGATGCCTGTGCACTCTAGCTCCTGATGTACTGCCCTCTTCATTCCATGCATCTTTGGCTAGCAGACTAGAATGTGTTCTACTTATTGTATGGGCTTCCTCTACAAGAATATCGACTCCACAAAGATGGGGACTTGTGTCAGGCATTGGTCACTCCCAGAGGACTCAATAATACATAATGAAAACGCTGGGCCAGCAAAATAACTCAGTGGGTGAAAACACTTGCTGGACAAACTGACAACCCAAGCTCCATCCCCAGAACCATGGGAACTCAAACCTATAAACAACCTTGGTGTGGTGGTGTGAAAGGGGGATGGAGACAGGAGAATGCCAGGTGCTCTTGAACTATCGACCTTCAAGTACAAATCACAGCAGCAAGAAACAAGATAGTCTCTGCCTTAAAACAAGGTGGGAGATGAGAACTAACTCCAGAAAAGTTGTCCTCTGTCCCCCAATATGTGGAATATAGCATGTGTGTGCATGTGCTTGTATACACGAAATCTTTTTTGTTTTTGTTTCTTGAGACAGGGTTTCTCTGTGTAACAGCCCTGGCTGTCCTGGAACTCACTGTGTAGACCAGGCTGGCCTTAAACTCACTGAGATCTACCTGCCCCTACCTCCCAAGTAGGGAGGGAATATTCCCAAACTGGGAATAAAGGCGTGCATGCGCCATCACTGTCTAAAATATTTAAAAAAAATTTTTTTTGTTGTTTTGGTTTTAGTTTTTCGAGACAGGGTTTCTCTGTGGCTTCATAGGCTGTCCTGGAACTACCTCTTGTAGACCAGGCTGGTCTCGAACTCACAGAGATCCACCTGCCTCTTAGTTTTTAAAATTTTATATGTGGGCAGTGGTGGCCCATGAATTTAATCCCAGCACTTGGGAGGCAGAAGCAGAGGCAGCTGGATCTCTATGAATTTGAGGCCAGCCTGGGCTACAAGGGGAGTTTCAGGATAGCCAGGGCTACATAAAGAATTCTTGTCTCAAAACTACCCCCCCCCATTTTTCATTTTAAGGTGTTTTGCCTGCATGCATTCTTGTGTACTATGTGTGTGCCTGGTATCCATGGAGGCCAGAAAGGGCATCAGATCCCCTGGGACTGGAGTCACAGATGGTTGTCAGCTGCCATATGGGTGCTGGGCATCAAATTGGGGTCCTCTGCAAGAGTATCCAGTCAATTGCTTAGTTGTGTCT